ACAAAAGAACCGCATACAGGAGTTGCAAGCCCAGGTGCAAACGGCTAAAACTACGTATGCAACAGCTTTGCGTAATCTTGAACGCATTAGTGATGACATACACCGTCAGCGTGGCGATTTCTCAGATATGAATGCACCACCACCAGGACCACGTGAACCCGGTGTTGGTGCTGAATTAAATTCGCCAACATTAACTACATTACCGCCTTTGCCAGACTTTAAACGTGAATTAGAAAAATGTGACTATCCTTCTATTGCAAGTAGCCAAGTTTCGCTTGGAAATTTCTCGCATCGTTCAAGTGATTTAGATAATAATGCAATGAATTCTTTCGCTACTATGGACGATTCTGAAGGAGAGGAAAACGAAGCTGATTATATAGATAGCAATGATTTAATGGAAGTTGTTGACGAAAGTGATCTCGAAGCGTTGCGTCAAAAGGTCAAAATCCTTGCTGTACGTCCAATAGAAGGTGGCGATGGACAACAAGAGCAAAATGATATGTGGGAACACGAATTAAATGCTACAGTTAATAAATTGGATCATTTAATGTTGTTGAAAGAATGTGCAAACAATCAACAACATATACAAAAACAACAACAAAATATAAGACCCGATTCTTTAGGAGCTGAATCAATAAAGCCCACTAATCAAAATAAAGGACCATTAATCAAAATTACTTCCAGCACAAATGCAACAAGTATGCCGGTTACTCCTGAGCATAGTGTGCAACCTTTGAAAAAACTAAATAAACTAGAACCTCTGCCATCGGTTAATGTATCAATGCGTGAGCTGCCTTTATTAGCACGACTGTCAACAGAAGTATTGGATCGTACGGTCATATCCAGCACACAACGAAGGCGTTCATTAGATTAATGTAAATAATATTTATTATATTTGTAAAATTTTACTAGAATTATTAAAATTTAAAATTATTCTTAAAGAGCATTACAGTTAAAGAGATTGATAAGAATATAATATTCAGTTTAAAAATGAAAAAGAGTAAATATAAAGAGGGTTAAAAAGATTATATTTTAAATAGAATAATCAATTAAGTAAATTACTTGATAGTATTTGCAAAAAAATAAAATGTTAATTTAATAAAAATTAATGTATTTGTGATTGTATTTTAATATGTAATAAAAGTGCAAAATCTATAAATTTTTCTTCTTTTTTTTGTACTTAGAGATTTTAAAGGATTTTTATTTATATTTTGTTCATGTTAAATCACCATATTAGTATAAAAGTATTTTTTGCTTTTCCTTTGTCAATTTAATTTTATTTATGAAATATTTATATTATTGTATTATTAAAATTAAATAAAAATATGTATTAGTTTTGTGTCCATAGCAACGGTGTTTAATAAATTTAATAAATAGATGCACATAATCAAAACGTGATTAGTTCAACAAAACTATATAATAAAATTAGCAGAAGGTTCACATTGCAAACCTAACATATAGAAATTATTTTTTTATGATCAACGAACTAAATAGAACTAAGTATATACCATATATATATATATATTATGAAGAGAAGAGTTTTTCATAGAAGTAAACATTTCAAATATGAAAATTTATTAAGAGTTACATTTTTACAATATAAAAAATAATTCAAATTCGAATTAATAAAATATAGATTTTTACATATTTTACATTTTAAATGACATTAAAATAAACGCTTAAAACTGAAAGTAGAATATGCAATTTAATTCAAAAGAATTTGGAATCTTGTGAAATATATCAATATGTATACATAATACAACACAATTTTAAATAATTAATCGTATAAATTAATAAATAAAATCAATACACGATAATTTATGATTGTTAAATGAAATAGTTAATATAAATTTATTTTTGATGTAATGAATTATATGTTCTGATTACTACAAAATTGTAGAAAAGTTCGGAAAATGGTTTAAAATATTCTTATTTATAGTTATATTAAGTTAATGATTATTTAATGTAAAATTATGAACAATTAAAAATAACTTTTAGATTAACAAATACGCTTTGTTAAACTTAATAAAAGTCTTTCAAATATCAAAAAATTATTTTTTTTTTATTGTTAAAGTTGATATATATAGTTGATATATATAGTTTTGTTTGTTGGCTTGACTAGAACTGAATTGAAAGTATCAAGCAGAAGCTAACCAAACCAAGCCTATTATGCTGAGATTTGCATTCTTGAGATAAGTGTAGTGTCTTTTATCTTAGTTGATTTCTATAAGTGGAACCATAAGCGCAATATGTTCATTAAATAAACAAAGAATGCTGTGTGTAGCTTGACTATGCGATCTTAGCTAAATTAACATAAAAAGTAAGATAGCTTCAGTGCACTCAGAAGTGTGTAAACAGGAAGCTTTACTTTGTGTGTAGGATAATTTCTTAAACAAAAACTGTGATGTTGCGTTTATCTTTTATTTTGTTTAATGCAAAGTAAGATAAAACTTAGACTGACAAATTTGTGAAATAAATCCACATAATAGGTAGATATATAGCAATAATTGGTTATAAAGACCTTTTTACCTAGTAGAGGTTGTTAAGTGATCATTGTCATTGTCAAGAAATCAAGGGATAGTAAGTTTTGAAATAGGTAGCATAGGTAGTTATAACTATTGGACACTATTCCTCGCTCTAAGATGTGTCTGTTGATCGCCTTTCTCGTATCATGTTTACATTAACACCTATTGTAATGGAGCCAACATCAGTGAGGTCAAATAGAAGCGTGCACTCACAGTCTTCTACAAAGATACGTTATCCTCTACTGAGATCTCTACGCTGAGGTCGATTTCGGGTTCTTTTTTCTGGTCTGCGTATGAACAATGCTAATCCGTAGTATCAGAATAGGCTATTATTTGAGCTCAAGTACAAGAGTATACAAGGCCGCCACTCCCATCTAAACTTCCCTTGCCAACATAAATTAATACTACAATATTGTTTATAAATTATAATTGAAAATCGGTAGCATGTTAAAAATAAAAGAATAACCGAAACTATAATAAAGTGAAAGATATATGGCTTAATTTACAAAGGGATTAACGTGTTTTGATTAATGATACATAGACATAATTGGAAAACATTAAACTTTTAATAGAAGTATGGATAGTAAGTAAGAATAATATATTAACAAATAGTTGTCTGCTTTTCGGTACATATGTAAACTTCAATAATATTGATAAACCGGTAGGAATTTGTCAAAATATCAATAAAACATAAACCGATCTCTATATTGTGCTACATAAATATATATATATAATGCAGTCATGTTTATTATGGAAGACTTGTTAAAGATTGTATGCATTCTGGCATCTTTCCGCTTTTTTTTTTTTGAAAGTGAAAATAATAAATTGGTTTATTGAAAACAGACACTTGTTGTTCTATAAGTAATAATAGTTAGTCAATATCTTTAAAATATACAAAAACAATATATAGCATTATTTAAAAACGCATTTTACGTTATTATTATGAAAGTAAATACACGAGTTGGTAACCAAAAAAAAAACCGAGTTATACATTAAGACCGAAAAGCTTTCGGAAATTCTCATTTAAAATTCGCGCGCTGTATATTTTCCGATATTTTAAGTTTATGTAGTTTGGCAGCACTGTCCTTAATTACTATGCCAAAAATGAGCGCGATCTGTCAGACAGTTCGTTTACGGCAGCTGTTGAAACCAGTTCACCTCAGTAGGGCGTTGCGAAAAAAACAATGGAAAAAAATATTGAACAAAGAGTTTGCATCAAATTTTGTGTTTCGAACGAAATTTCGTGTGCAGAATCGTTGCGAATGCTACAAAAGGCTTATGGGGAATCAGTTTTATCGAAAACTCAAGTTTATGAGTGGTACAAAGCCTTCCAGGACGGTCGTACGACCGTCGAAGACATTTCGCAACGCACTACTGAGGTGAACTGGTTTCAACAGCTGCCGTAAACGAACTGTCTGACAGATCGAGCTCATTTTTGGCATAGTAATTAAGGACAGTGCTGCCAAACTACATAAACTTAAAATATCGAAAAATATACAGCGCGCGAATTTTAAATGAGAATTTCCGAAAACTTTTCAGTCTTAATGTATATTAATCTTATGAAGGCATTGTAATTAAGCACAGTCAACGTAAAAAATAATGAATAAAAATAATCACAATAAGTCCAAATTTTTTGAATACACAGTTACTATTAAGCTTACATTTTATACACACATACAAACTTTAAGTTATAATTTATTTAAACATTAATGAGCATCAATAGTAAGCCAAGAACATTCTTACCAATTGTAAATGATTTTCAATTGATGAATTAAATTACATAACTTCTTATCAATTTATGTTTTTAATATATTTTAACTTATGTATTAGCGGCACATATACATCAACTTTTCACAATAATTTAAATTCATTTTACCTGCAATAATTTATTTATTTAAATATTATTAAAATATAGATGGCCAGTAAATAACACAAATGTCGTGAAAAAACTAAAAACTACTATGACTTCAGAGGTACGAAATGGAATTGAAACTGTCATTCAAATGTCAATTTATTGAACTTGTTTGAAAAAATTTTAAGTTATGAACCGTTTACTTTAAAAATTGTAAACTTGTAATTTATCAATACTTTAATATAATACTATTTGAATTGATTGATTTCTAAATTTTTTTATTCAATTGTACAAACACTAAAATGGGACAACAGAACATATAAAATCACAAAAACAATTGCTACGCCATACAGTTTTTGTGTTGCTATACTAAGGACGTGTGCGAGTTAGGCTAAGTTGATGCTAAACCAAATAGGAGATTTTTTGGGATTTTTTGCACTGCACACATTTTGCCATTTATCAACACGTATCGACACATCACTACATTATCGGCACAACTTAGAATTTCCCTCATTTAAAACGCAACTTAGCCTAACTTGCACACGACCTAAATCTATTCTTTAGTAAGCATATCGCAAAAAACAACCGCTTATTTTTCAAATAACATATAAAACAACAAAACTGCTGGTTAATTTAGTCCAATTTCTTTGAAAGCAATTAACTAATAAACAGCTGAAATCGCATGATTGCTAAGACTAAAAATTCGTCTACTATGAAGTACCTACAAAATTTCCATTTAACTGTCAACATGTATTTTTCTTAATTATTTATATTTGTTATTTTTTCCATTTATTATTTTAGTATTAAAAAATTATTATTTATTTCGAAGCTTTAATTTTAAATTTACGTGTTTTGCAAATATGTGTATTTGCATATATAAACCTGACAGGTATCAAAACAACAATTTCCTGAATTGTCATTGAAAATAGTTATTATTTTATGTTGTTCTTTTGCTATATTCTTACAAACAAATAGACCTGTTTTTGTTTTGTTCTATTACTAAGCATGGTTAAATAAATATTATGTTTTTCTTAAATTGCAAAAATGTTTCACTAAATTTCAATTCTTTACAAGAATTATTAGGAAAAAGAAATATAAATCAGGGATTAAAAATCATGCGTATTTTCCGAGAACACCCTTTTCATCATGGATTTAAGTTGGGTAATCTATATTAAGCAAATATTTTCACTACGCTGTAGGTATACCAATACAATTTACTTCACACAAGATGAAGGTTTCATATTGTATACTTATTACATTGACAAAAAACTAAAAAATGGTTATAATGATGGTTATAAATATGAATATATTGCAAGATCCCATGAGAAGGATGTGGACCTAAACAACAAAAAAGATGAGTCATTTCGAATTCAATACAAGGCTGAAATAGGAAAAATAATAAAATACAAAAATATCATCATTTATATCAAATCTCAGAGTACAAGAAGGTTAAGTGATTATAATAAGAACACTTGTTGACACAATCTTTTTGCTAACATCCATCTCATATTGCACTAAAAAAGAAGAATAAGATAAACATATATATATATTTAAAATGGGATTGGCAACATTAAAATGTTATCCAAAAAAGAAAAAACACTTTTTGAATTCACTACAAGTAATTTTGCATCAATAACATATATAAGCCAAAATGGAAATGAAGAACAACGTAATGAACGTTAAGAAAATGAGGAAATCCGGCAAACAATTTACAAACCTAATGACATGAGAAAACAAACTTTGTTTATAGACTACGAAAGCTCGGCAAATTTTAACTGCATAGGGATCAAAACTCTACAAGCAAGACTCATTAGAAATGAAACGATAGAACAACAGATAATACAAAAACTCTTTTAGAATATATTAAAACTATGTGAGCAAAATTCATTGAAGTTAAAACAAACAATCAAAAAGTACTTCATTTAAAACAAAAATTAGTTAAAAGTAGCAAATTAAATACTAGATCAGACTAAAACAATAGAACAACAGGCACTTCATTAAGTAAATATGAAGACTATGTAATCAGTTGACAGAGGAAAAGAAATACCAGAACAACGTAATAGACGTATTGAGCCAAATCATGTTTAACCACAAAATATTCAGTTGTTCAAATCTAAGTGATAAAGCAATATTGTGATTTTGTTAAATAAGTATTTATAATTTATCTGGAGCTTAATATTTATTTTAATTGGTGTGACAGTTATATATATAATACATTGAAATTATTTAAGGCTCAAGATGGCTACTTCATTGCTTCAAACTCACAGGGCTTTTACTAAGTCGTAAATGCTTGTTTTTGAATGCTAACTTACAACAAAAAAAAAAATTGCTGCGAATGTACTAAAAATTGGGAAACTACAATAAAATGAAATGTTGTCATTTTAATTTCAAGTCATTTATTTGTATTTATACGTAAAAATATCATATCAATATCAATGATTTCACATCGAAAAGCTTCACGGATGGTATTGACCATCTTCTGTTTGGTCGTATGCACCAGCTGCTTCCAATGCCTTTCGTTCTGCCTCATGTTGTGCTCCAATTGCGGCGTGTTCTGCTGCAATACGTTCAAATAAACTCAAGTGCTTATTTGTAGCGCGGACAACGGCTTCGCTATCTTGGGGGCCAGCAACAGCGGCCTATAGCAAGAAAAAAAAAATATAAGAAAGTGAACAATGATATAAACATTGTAAATATTTCCCAATAAAAATGTATACAATAAAGCTTAGATTTTTTTCAACTACTTTGTCGTTTCTTTTATAGATTTTGCTAGATTATGTTAGATTTTGCTAGATTTTGTTAGCTTCATTACTTAAGTTGTGTAACTGTTTACTTATACGTGTAGATACTTACGGCTTGATGATGCAACTCATTTGCATGTTCTTGTGCAATTTTATTATACAAGGCGAAATGTTTTTGCTTTGCTAATTTCACTGATTCACTATCTTCCAGTTCATGACTTAATTGTGGATGGAAACCATTTTCATCGGCAACATACTGTACGGTACGTAATTGATTCTTTGGATCCACATATGAAAACGCACCACGTACCACACCAGTGCCATCGGAAACTTCAGTATGTTGACGATCTACATGACCTGGTGCACGTCCAGCCTGGTAACTGAAAATATATGGATTTGGTGGCCCTGGTTGTGGTGTTGTGGTAGCGTCATGAAGCACATGCGCCACATCAGCACGTGCGCATGCGCACAAAACAGCGAATACCTTTTAACCAACCAAAAGCAACACATTATTTACAAAATCGTAAATTATTTTTGCGAGCTACTAGCTTGGCTAACTACTCAATTCGCTACTCACCAATACAATTTGTGTTTTCATTTTCGTAATAAATTCCTAAATAATATTTATTGGTCTCACTTTCTGAAGTTGTTTATCTGTCGAGGTCTTCTGCTTAACTGAAACTTGACTAAATGTTTCGGCGTTGCTTGTGCAAAATAAATTGTCAATTTTTTTCAATCAAAACTGGTATTTCACGACTTCTCAATCAAAAACAATACAATAATGAAAACCAGTAAACAACACACACAAGAAATTTCGTCTGATTAATTTAAATATATTATTAAATAATTAAATATATTTCATTTGTTTTGCCATTAGAAAAGTCAAATGAAACCACATAAAAATAAAAAATAATTATAGTCATAGATTGTTGTGCTCTTTTCTTTGGGGTGCTAAACGTACGAAGAATGCGCATTCAATTATTCATTGATACAGCTTCCGTTAATGGCCGCGATTATCTGATGAACTTGTAAATAGACAAGCCTATCATCTGCTCACTTAAATCATCATGAATGGCGCCTTACATTATTGTTACAACAACAACCCAGTAGTAAATGTGCTCATCGTATTATTGACTTATGTATATATTTTGTCCAATATTCATATTTAAACGACCACCACCCACTTTGTTGTTTTGAGTAAACGAAGATATATCCGATGTATACAAAACTCATACCATCATTTAACTAGAGTCACTTTTTTGCAACATTTATAGAACTAATTTGTATACGTCCATAAATGTCTTAATTGTAATACCCGTTAATGATACCCGTATGATAATTACTTCCATTCAAATAGAAAAAAGCGTAAATGAGGTCGAGGTATGTCAAATACCTCATGTAGGGAAAGCAAACCCATTCAAGTCAAGTAAACTCATAGACCTTTACAGTGTATTGGTGTAATTTTGGACTTAAGATATATTGATGGAACAAAAATTACTAAATCATTTCAGTTGTAGCTGAGTTACCATTTTCTTTTGGGGTGAGAAGGTAGAATGCTTTATGCACCATCAAACCGTCCGTCATCGGAATGATGTGTCCGACTCCCTAACATTAATATGTAGTATACAGACTAAAACATCCGCATTACTTCGAGGAGGTAATTAGAATAGTTTACCGAGAGTGATTGCTGTCAAAAAGCGAGGCATATTTAGAGGATATATATAATAGATTTTTCTCTTCCGATTGATTTCAGTTGTGTCAATGAGTATTCAATTTTGGCTGCATGTGTTTCAATAGGTCAAAAACCGGTGGTAACTGCCGTTAGTCAGAAGATGTCTTCTGTTTTTGCTTATTAGTGTAAGGTTTGAATACTCTTACAAATAGCAAGATTCTTCCAAAATAACTTAGTGAAAAGTGAAGTAACCAATCCGTGTTAACCTCTTGGTCACAGCCATTACGAAAGAGAAGTTCGTTCTAACAACTTCAACATTATCAATCAAGGGTTTCAGAAAAGTTGTAGTGTCTGTATCCCAAAGAGATACCAGGACAAACAGATGAATTGAAGTAAGCGGCTCACTTTATAAAGTAAGGCGTTTTTACTGTCCATTATTTTTACGAGTTTAATCGATTATCCACTCAATGTAAAATATCTTTACTAACGGAACAAATCTAAGCTAAAGGATCATGTTAGCTGTATACAGGTATAACATTAAATTGAATGATTCCAATTTATAGTTAAATCTTTCATTCGACAATTTTTCTTAAAAATGACCCTTAGCATACAAATGTGTCTTAAAGTTAACTATTTTTGCTGAAAGCCACACGTCTTATGACGAGAAAGAAGCTATTTTTAAAATTTAGAAGACTTCGAATAGAAAAGAAAAGATGAGAACAAAAATTTAGTTATTTTTTTGAGATTTGGCTGCCCATACAACGCTGTTTCAAGTATTGTCTTATTTTAAAATAGTTTAATAAAAAATTAATAGCATAAATCTATATATAAATGGTTATAATAATAATTTTTTTTCAATTACATTTTTTTTAGTGCTTCAAAAGCTTATATCGATTTACTATATGAAATCAATTAAAAATACATCTCAATAATCACGAAAATTTCAAGTTATTTTAACAACGCCTTTTTTTCTAATGCAAAATGCTTCTAATTCAAAAAGTTTATTAAAAATAATTTTGTGTAATTTAATATTAACAATCACTGCGGTTCCCAGTTCAAAAAATACTTATCGAACAAAGCAGATTGATTATTTATTAATATTTTTTTCAAATAATTCCGGTAATAAAAATGTTTCCGTAACATGTATGACATAAGTAAACGATCAAGATCAAAAGAATTCGTTACAGTGATTAATTTATTTTTTAACATGATCAAAAAAGCGATCAAATTGCACAAAATTTTATATATATAATTAATAATATAAGAACAACAATTACAAATCAAACTGTGTTGATTGTTTTATAAAACTTATTAAGAATGTTGTTTTTTATTAAAATAATCTAAAGTATATAGGTACATTGAAAAAGCAGATCAATGTTTTAGAAATACATAAATATAAATAAATTATGAAATTCACACTTTGTATTCTCACAATTTATTTATTTATAAAAATTCTCACAAATATATATTACTTACTTACTTATTTAGGTGGCCGTGAGTCGTCCTTGGCCGCTTCGAGTAGCCTCCGTCAGACAGTCCGATTAGTTGCTTTCTAACGCCAGTTGGTAGTACCGAACGTCCCCAAATCGTTGGTCACCTGCTTCTTCCACCGAAGATGCGGACGTCCTCTACCACGTTTTCCACCTGCGGGTACCGAATCAAATACCTTTCTAGCCGGAGCAGTTTCTATCAGACACTTTATCTTGAATGTTCTCTCCTATCCAAAAATATGTATTACATACAAATAATGATAGTTTAGTTTTGAGAACGCAAAGAGACAATTTCTAAGTATCAAAATTAGTTAATAAAGCAAACAGTAGGTATAACATAGGCAGTGTAAAGGACTTTAATTTTCTTTTTACAATTGATCAACTAATCAATATTAAGAACTTCAATCGATTAAAATCATCTCTAAGGAATAATATTAAAAGATTTATAACACAAAAGATCTTTATAATCAATTAAAGTATATATCCAGTTCCATTATAAAAGTGGTTGATACTTTCATTAAAAGCGAAAAATCAAACATCAAGCTCTTTTTAACACTTAAACGATAACTGAGAGCTACTGAATGTAAACGGATCGTATTAAAAATTTCAGAAAAATACAGTGATTAGTAGTTACTTACATTATGCTAAGGACGTATAACTCTTAGATATTATTATGGATGGAATCAATTATTTAAATAATAACAGCATTAGTACGCAATTAATAAAGGAAGTAATACTTCTTATATTAAAAAATATTAACTACATTTCTATTACCCTTGTCTTTTAAAGTTTTCTACCCAAGTTATTATATTAAATTCCAAATATATTTTTTCTATAGAATTTATTTTAACTTAATCATTATACCGCTACAAATCTGTAAAAAATAAGACACAATAACTCATAATATATCCATTTTTATTTAATATATTATAAATAAACTAAATCATTCGAAAAGAGTACTTCTGTTTTCATTTTTGAACCACTGTAGAGGTCCTTCTTCCCCCCACGAGTAAGGGTTTAGAATATTCCTGAGGTAAAGTATGTCTGTTGTAACACACGACTAAAACCCCAGCGCTATTACGGCAGTGTTTGAAGTGTGAATGATTGTAAGTGCGACACGCCACCGGAGGTGTAAATCTGGTACTACAGGGTTCAAATGCCCGCAGCAGCTTCGGCTGGCTTCACCAATTGAGGTTGGCAGTATCATGGTCTCTGTTGTTAATACCCAAATTTGCGCGGGAAGAATGGTTGCATTTTACTTTTATTCGGAGTGGAGTTGCGTATTCACACCGGGTGCTGTGACCTAAAGATAAACAGAGGTTGGATGGGTTTCGCTCTTTACCAAGGGGAAGTTATGCTAAACACGTAACTTCAATTAGTGCTGGCCGAAATTCCTTGGAATTTCTAATAGGGCCATTTGAAAACGGATTTAAGGTGGGGCAACTATTTTTGAGAAACTTTTTCTATATATATTAATATATAACATATATTGTAAACTAAACTCCAAGATATCGGGCTCTAATGTTTTTGCATTGCTTTAAAGTAAAATATATTACAAATTGTTTACAACTTTTAATCTCGGCCTCAATATCTGGAGAAGTGAGGTATATAAAATAATTAAAAACCTAATTTTAAACAACTAGCTGATTTTGTTAATGTCTGTTCACAAATCAAAATATCTGCAAAATCAAAATCATAATGGTAGCACTGATGCCGTAATGTTGAGCAGAATACCCTTTAGTTGAATTAGCTGACTAATAAGTTTCCTGGTGTGGATTAAGTTAATATATTGAGATCTGACAGTAATGTTTTTTTCACCATGTTTTTAGCTTTACAAATATATTTTTGTTTAATGCAAAATGTGGCCATTGCAAGTGGAATACCAATATAAGAAAAATGAATGTCGAAAAATAGAGTGTCTATCTTGACAAGTTTGTTAGCCCTACAGTTGCTCGATTTGCTCCATGTGAGCTGGACAGTTACACGTCTAGCTATGCTAAGAGAAAGCCGGGAATCTCGAACTGTTAAATATGTTGCAGTAGTGCTCACCAGTGATTAGTTAGCGACTTTGCTGTCCGTAAAGATTACGATATTTATATCGGAGATCTTGTTGCATAGGACCTATTTTACTACTAAGCGAATAGTAATAACTTCTACCTGAAAAACACTGTTATGGTTCGGTAGTCAAGACACTATCACCCAATTTATCTGAAGTACTTATAAAGAGAATATAATAGGAATTTAAATTTAATAGAGATAGATGTTTCGTGCTTTAATCGACTCTAAACGTACAGAAAAAGTCAGCTTATAAGTTAATTTAGAAAAAGTGGAAAAATAAAAATTTTTATTAAGCATTTGTAGCATAAATTATACAGCATATATATATAATTTATAAATATATTTAATTGCAATAAATATTTAGTTAAAATTTTTTGCTATTATATTATATTATTAAGATAAAAAACTAATATGCTTATTTAATATTCAATACAAAAAAAATTAATCGTACTTAACATATATAGGTTAGAAGTTTTTTAAATTTAATTTAAATAAAATACATTTTAATATAAGAGGTAAAAAAGACTACAGATAAAATACTAGTGGCTGGTTAACAGTCAGTAAATCGACAATTTTGAATTTAAATTTATAACTGAAAGCCATGGTGCAAGATATTGTTAAGAGTATTTCTTTATAAATGCCTTTTTACAATCAAGAGCACTTCCAGATGAAAGCTCTTCGATACTTTTTTTAAGAAATAGCCCAATTAAATGAGCTTGTATTACCCAAACTGAAAAACATAGCTTAAGTAGGTATTATACGCCAATCATATTCTGAAAATTATATAAATATTTTCCAAATGGTTTAGAGCTTCTTAAACAAAAGTAATTAGAATGTAAATCTTTATATAAAACAATTTGTGGATCACCAAAGCAAATGTACCATTTCTTTTTTACAATCTATTACTTCTGTTCTCTTCTAATCATCTTTCCATAGACGTTACTTGTTCCATTACAAAATCTAAATGATTGATGCTATCCAGTATGGTATCATGTTGGTAGTTGACGTGTTTTAAAATCAATTCCATTTTATTTAAATTTTGACTACTATAATCCGAAACAATGTCGACTTGTGTAAAATTCTTTATAGTCTGTCCCAAAATCTAAATAAAATATATACAATATTTATATAAAAATGTAAATGCAAATTCTTTAAATTCAAATCACCTCATTTGATTTCGAGCCCCGCACAATTTGACGTGCTACAGACCCCAAATTATTAACATTTACACCAACACGGTCGCATAAACGTTGTTTGCTATCGTTAAATAGATGGCGCGCACTGCTACTTGATGCCGAAGCCATCAGCTGTTTTGATAAATATAATAAAATCAATGAAATCTGTATTCAGTCAAGAACATTTTTAATAAATTTACCAATTTGAAAATGTATGCACCTAGATTTTAATTAACAAAAGCTAAAAAAAGTTGAAGTGATAACAATATGCACTTATTAATTAAATAAACTTAATAATTTCAGTTGTAATTAATATATATTCGGTTCTGTTTACGAAATTTTCACTGCTGCTAATCAAATGACAGTACTGAAACTACTGTACAGCGGCTAATGATATTTGCGAAAATAATACTCAAAGAGAACCAAAAATAACATTCCGTACAACCATTTATTTGCAATCCATTAAGTTATAGGTATATTAGATATTTTAATAACTTAATTAAAAATAATAGGAACAAGGATAAAAATTTCTTACAAAGCGTTTATAAATCTTAAAATATTAGTAGAGTAAAATTTAATAATTTTTTTCTTTTTAACTGTTAATATCTAAATAATGAGTTAGCTTTATTCTGCTTGCTTCAATCAAGTAATTATATGTACATTGCATCAAATATCACAAAATAAAAATGGTATCTGTATTACATATGCATAAATATGTATTTTTTTATTAAAAAAAAAATCAATATTTCACAGCATTATTGTAAATCATTATAAGCTATCATACCATATAAGATTTTTACTTGCAGATATTAAGTTTTTTCTAAATAAGTCTCGAAGTCTTTAAATTGCCTTTATCGTTGTCAAATTCTTTTATTTTTTTGTGTTATATAAACATACGTTCATAATTCTTGATTGTGTCTTCAGTGGTTCATTTTAGCTACATACCTGATCTAGCTCTATCTTTTAGATTTAATAAATCAAGTTTTTAACCACTTAACAGTACTTTCCATTTCCATAACATATTTTTATATATTATATCAATATTATATATAAAAATTTAAAATTTTTGTTGTATGTAATTCACCACTTTTCGAAACATCTTTATAAAAATTATATATATTATTATAAAAATCATATAAATTATTATAAAAATTATGTGAATAAATATTTTTATTTATTAATAATCTTACTAACGCAAAGCACCAGTTTTTTTAATAAAATAGATGGAGCACCTAGTAAGTCATTAGTTGTTTACCTTAATCAGAACACATTTATAGTAATAATTTACATACAATGTACAATATTTTAAATTCTTTAGTTATTTAATTTAAAACATGTGAAAAAGCTTAATTGTTAGAATTGCATTGTTGTAATTTTCTCAACGAGTTTAGGAATTGCAATAGCAAATTTATCTGATCTCCATTTTATTAAATTTTAAAATGTGTCATATTATAGAATTAAAAGTTAATATTCATCAAAAAATTTTTTTATTTTTAGAATGTAACGCCATTAACCAATTATTTTCTATGTAAAAAATGCTATTATACTAAAGTAATATATATTCTTATTATATATTTTTATAATATTCTATAAAAAAAAATAGAAAAAAACCTTTTATTTGTGTAATGTTTTAGAAATGGGAATATACGAGTATCACCAAAATTTTTATATCCACCAATGTATGGAAAAAGCTTCAAGCAAATAAAGAAATAAATCAGTCAAGTTATCAATTCGATCGAATTTTAATCATTGCATACATTATCGTTGCCTCCTATTGGGTGTAATCAACAAATATATACTGGATAGGTCTTATACGAAGTGCTCAAACAAGATTCTGTTGTGCTAAATGAAACCCAACATGGAATCAATAATAATAGAACAACCATGACAATATGCTCTTCTGTAATTGTCTATAATGAAACGATCGACTTTTTAAGCAGAAATTCCAACTAACCAACACTGCATTCAAAACAAATATGACTATAGATTGTTAACAAATAATTATAACAGTATATGATGCCTGGACTTATGTGAAGGGACTTTAAGTAACAGTTTAGATGGTAATGAAGAAAACTTAAGCTGAAGGTATGAACTCTGTTATAATACTTTCAGCTGGTATATACATATATATATAATAAATAATAAATGGAAATTAGTTCTACATTAATATCCAAAACAATTTCTTCACAAATGGCGTAATGTTCAAAATATAGATCCTAGGAGACGTTTTCTGTTTTTACTTAAATAGGAATTAAAAATTTTGTTCACTAATTATATTCCTTTTTTTAAATTTTTTTCTGTTTTATACTACATATATTAATTGAGTTGCATATCTGTAGAGTCAGATGTCAAGCAGTCACAGCTTCTTCGAGAGGGAGGGCTTCTGACGGCAATTCGAGTTCTTAGGTTTAACCATCATTACTTTTGCCACGATTTTATTATATATTTTTCTAATGTGGAGCTCTCATTCTTAACCTTATTTACACTACTTTAGGACTTCATGGCTCTGCAGTTAAATCCTGGAAAAGTATATAATGTCTAATTCGTAATTTTTGGTTTTTGTAAGAGATATAATCAAAAATACAATAGATTTGACCAATATTCATATGATGAATATATTTTTAATCAGGGAGGTAGATCAAGAACATTGCAAATTGTTTATTATTAGCAATAAATACTGATAAATACAGTTAAGTGTAGTTCATCTGATGTAATAGTTCATTGAACCTCTCTGTTCCTACATGTCTTTATTTTTCAAGAAACTATATTAACAAAATAATTATTATTAAGTAAAATTGTATTACAATATGTTGTTATTTAAAAATATATAATATAATATACTATTATATAGGTGCCCATTTTGTATATGAAAAATAAACACGCGCGTATCGTAAAACAGATGTGAAAAGAATATCTTTTTGTCTGGAACTTCGTTAATATTTTTAAAATTACAGGTATTCCAAATTTTATTGTTTTACACTGCATGTGTAATAATAAATAATTTGAACTACATAAATATTTGTCTGGTATATGTTCATCGTATACAGTAACTTTTTTATAAAACTAAAAAGTTTATAAAGATCAAGTATCAACACATATATTGTAACATATATGTTTCTTATTATATTCTACAAATTATAGAATTTTTTTGAGTTATCTTTGAAATGTACTAGGAGTACTTATACTTATGGTCAACTTTGATCAAGAGTCTTGTTCTTTTATGGTACTTAAGTCATGAAATCACCAAATCTAGTTTTGGTCTTTTATATCCTCTTTTTCCATGAAACTCCATTCAATGTGTCATTATAGTTTCAACATGTTCTTAGAAGTTTTGAGATGTCAGTAGAATTTTTTCCATCAATACTATCAACTTTGATACTACAATTGTTATAACTTTTATCAGCTCTAAAAGGACCTCTAATAAAAAAAAACTTTTTCGACCAAAGTCAGACTTATATTACGATAAGTGCAAAATTTGTACGAAATATTTCAATATTATCCGACTTACAAAAGTATTTTTTTCGTCTATATAAACATATATATTTTTACCCTCAAGTTCACTAGTCACTTCTTACTTTTTCTTATTTGGCTTTGTGCAGTCTATACAGTCCAGTGTGAACCTTGGCTTCCTTCACAACATGCCTCCATCTGATTCATTCTTCTGCAGTTCTTTTCCAATTCAGAGCTTTCTGAAGTCCTCTTACACCTCATGTTTTTTTGTCATCGGATTAGCATTAGCATTGGTCTCATTTATTTTCAGACCAACGTTTTTAGTTTTTTCATTCAATTACATAAAGACGTTTGACAGTTTTCTTTCGTTACTTGGAATAATTGCAACATCATCTGTGTACGCACCGATTTAGTAAGATTTAGTTATAATATTTCCACGCTTTTCAAGGGAGCAGATAATGTAATAATGTAGTATCTGTATGTGTGCATGCGCAAGTTTAAATGTAAATAAATTCAAAGTGAGTTTAGAAATATAAATTCATTATTTTTAAATGTAATTATAAGCATTCAATTTCATCGCAGAAAATATCAAGTAGAAAAATGAACAAAAATAAAACCCATCCTACAGTTTTGCGGGTTTCTAAGTATGATTATTATTATTATGTTGAGGCAGTTGAGTCAGTGCACCTGAGCACTTTTACTCTCTATTAACTGCGAGGTTTCTTCAAAACCCCTCTTTGCACCTTGAATAGATTATTGTTTATCACTTCATCAGACTAAACAATAATTGACCTCAGACCTGCATACCTCCCCGAGGAGCCTGTAACCATTCTGAGATTTGATAACGCGGTGTTGGTAAGTCTGTCAGATTTCGCAAATAATTTTAGGGCTCTATCCTTTATGTATGATTATACGGTCTAAAATTATGATTAAACTTTTTCTGTTATTATCGAAGAATACAATTAACAGTTTGTAAGCTGCAGTTGTTCTTATTTCAATATATATAAGAATAAGAATTCATATCTCTGTTTTTAAAAATAATTTATATATTTAAATAATATATTACAAGTTCAATCTTGTCAAGAATTAATTAAAAAAATTATAAATTTGAATTTGATATATTTATTTATTCAAAATATACAAAATGCATTAATTAAGTTACATATCACAGTTATTTATTGCAAATATAATACGAATAACTGTCCAAAATCATTTAAACAATATATATAATACAAATATATAAAAAAAATACTAAAAAATATAATTACTATATCTTACTTTCGTTCGTCTCATTTTGTTCAGTAGGTGCCATATATTCACTATTAGGTAAATATTGTTGTTTTCGGGACAACGGCCTTAAAATAATGTGTGCACCACATGTTATAATAGCCGCTACAGCGAAGTAAGCAAAACTTCTCCTTCCGCCGAAGTGTTTAAAACTTAAACCACCTATCAGTGAACCAATTGAAAAACCTAATCCATCATCCATTCCTGCCATTAATCCTTGTACAGTTGCAGATGTGCCTGGCGGCGCAACAGCACTTGCATATGCCACTATGCACGTGTAACATAATGCATAAGTAACACCTTGAAAGAATAATTCCACGCCTACTAAATACCAAGGATTTGGTATCCAAGCGATGAGTGCAAGACGCACTGCATAGAAGAAGAAACACATGCTCATACAATTTATGTATCCAAGTTTTTTAATAATCTTTCCACTGTAAAAGAAGAAAGGTACTTCGCCAGCCAAACATTCAGCAGCAACAACACATCCTTCAATTAAC